TCAAAATGAAATATATAGGTCTTGCTGATGTGATCTTAGGAATTAAGATCAAAAGAACCAAAGATGGTCTAATACTAAGTCAAACTCATTATGTAGACAAAATTCTTGAAAACTTTAGCAAAGATGACACAAGAATAGCAAAAACCCCATCGGACACAAGTATCCATTTATCCAGGAACTATAGAGAGTGTGTATCCCAAATCAAATACGCTCGGATAGTTGGAAGCTTGATGTACCTGATGAGTTGTACCAGACCTGACACAACTTATACTATAAGTAAATTGAGTATGTTAATGAGCTATCCAAGTTGCGAGCAATGGTAAGCCATCATTCACGTACTTAGGTACTTACATTACACTTGAGATTACAGGTTGCACTGTAGCAGACATCCATCTATAATAGAAGACTACTCAGACACAAACTGGATATCTAGTACTTTTAATTTGAGATTAACTATGGATATGTGTTCACACTAGGTAGGCAACAATCTCATGAAAATTCTCAAAACAAACAGTGATTGCTAAACCCACAATGGAATGAGGTCATTGTGCTGGATAAAGTTAGAGAAGAGGAGGAATGGATTCACCATATCCTTGGGACTATTCAAAAATGGGATAAACCCATCTTCATCATTACCCTCTATTGTGACAGTAAATATGCTATAGACAGAGCAGAGAACATAATGTATTAATGGCAAAAGTCGGTACATTCGTCGGAGACAACTCCATAGAAAAATTGATCACAACTAAGATTATTGTTGTATACGAAAAATTGTGATATTTCTATAAAGACAAAATTTTGTACAAATTATATTTAATTTTAATTTAAAGCAGGTCTTATTTTCTAAATGGGTCATTTGATTCTCTTTCCCGGTCGATGTGTTTTTCCAACTTAGATTTGGATGACTTCTTTGATCGGAAGAGATTTGGTGTTTGGTTTGGTTTTTCGGGACTTTGGACGGCTTTGGTCTCCGTGCGGGCAAATTTGATTGTCGACTTTGAATTTGAAGACTTCTTTTGATGGATAATCCGAAGGAATTTGGTTTTCGGTTGGCTTTGCCGGACTTTGGAGGGCTTTGGTTTCCGCGCAACCAATTTGATTGTCGACTTTGGATTTGATGTCTTTTTTGGACGATCTGAAGGAATTTGGTCTTCGGTTGGCTTTTCTGGACTTTGGAGTGATTTTTCTATATATGGGCGAATTTGATTGTCAACTTTGAATTTGATGCCTTTTTTGGACGATTCGAAGGAATTTGGTCTTTGATTGGCTTTGCCAGACTTTGGAAAGCTTTTGTCTCCGTGCGGACGATTTGATCGTTAACTTTGGATTTGATGGATTTGGGGGTTTGATCTTTAAGGATGAGGATTTAGTACTCCATAACGCTTTTGGCAGCGTGTCCCTTTGACTTTTGGATGAAGAGGGCTGGATTTGCTGATTTGGTGATGAACACGATGAACATCTTGAAGTTTTGAGAGGAACTTTGTAGGCTTTCCCTTGGCTTTGACGGGTTCTTCTACGGCTTTTGAAGCTTTGATCTTTCCTCTGGCTTGGACATACGACGAAAAACGTCAATTCATCGATTCGTCAACCAATATTGGATCATATGTCCAAATCAGAGACTTTTCAACAAAGAACGCTTCAAAGGACACGAAGAACAATGCAGAAAGTCTAGAGAGACTTACCCTTGCTCGAGTCTTCAAATGAACTTGGGTATATCAAATGAATTGGCTAGGACTCTTATTTATAAGGGAGGATAGTCTTGGCTTCCTTTTCGGATGGTGTCACATGACACATTCTGAATGGTCAATAGGAAGATTTTATAATATTTCATTTTTCATCAGATGCCGTTTTCTATTCTTAAAAAATTTGATTATGTGTCTTCTTTTGTCGTCAATATCTTTATATTATTTCCTTTCTCGGAAGATATTAATTATAATATTTCCTTTATTGACAAGATTTATTTAATTTATTGTCAAATTTATTATGACTCTATATGTGCACATAATATTTGTATGATATCTTCCATTTTAAGTAGATTTTGCATTAATTGTTCATATTTACTGTACAAAAATTAACATATATGCATAATTAAATATCACATATTTATATTATTGGAATTTTTTTTTCAAAATACATGATATTTAATTGAAATTAGGTATTTATTTTTTAATGCCTACAATTGCTATAGACCTTGTTGCGTCAAATGATAACCTAGCGGATCCTCTAACAATGAGATTAAACCATAATGCAAATTGCAAATTGACTAGAGGAATGTCATTCAAATCTCATGAGAAATAAGTTTTATAAAAAGAAAATCCAACCTAGAAATATTGGATATCCAAGAATTAGTAGGTTCAATGCAACAACTTACCTATAAGACAATTACTAGGAAATTGAAGAGTTCAAGGACAATATTTCTACTGGATAGTTGGTAAAGAAACATATTGTTCAAAGAAATGGTCAAAGAAAAAACTACTTATCCTATGCAGAATTCATCATTTTTTTTCATCAAGTCATCGTGTTTTCCTCTTTTATGTGGGGATTTTTGGAGGTATGTATGTGAAAGAGGAAGAATATGATAATATGAAAAGTTGTGTCCCACGTTAGAAAAATAAACAAACTCACCCCTATTTAGTAATGTTTTGATCCCAATAATAATAAATTGGTCGATTGGGATATGAATTGGGTTGGACTTGGAGTGGGCTTGGTTTGAGCTTGGCTTGGGCTAACTCATAATTATAAATCAAGACTTGGGTCTTGGGCGGTGGGGGCTTGTGGGCCGAACTCAATAACATTGAAATTCAAGTAATTCAATTTTATATTTTATTTGATTTAAATATTTTTGGTTGATTAAAATGTTTGATATATTGAATATAATAAAATAATTGAAACCGAATGCAACATGCATAACAAAGTGAGGATGATTATGATTTGGGAAAAAAATATCAATTTTAGTCTGAATATAATTCAAATTAATCAATTTTGATCTCAATATAAAAAAAATTATCAATTTTGGTTCCAATATAAATCATTTTAATCAATTTTTGTCACACTCTTACAAATCCAACAGAAAATATTGACATGGACTTAACGAAAATAACGTGACGTCTAACTTGGATGATACACAACTATGCTTTATTGTACACGACTGTGTACATACCTCTCTTCTTTTTCTTCCCCATTACGTCCGACGATAGTACTACTCTGACACTTGCGTCTCGAATTGGAAACCTTCAATTCAATATTTTCTGGTGACCGTGACTTCCTGGCAGAGGAAAACTTCATGAGGATTTTGGCGGTCTTCTTGGTGGATAAGGAGGAAGCGGGTATGAAGAAATAAATAGAACCACTCTTTAGGTCAATTTTCGGTGAAAGGATGAGGATACAACGGAGCAAGGCTTTGTGAAAAGGTGATTGGGGTGGTTGGCTAGAACGTCGCCGGAGGTGACCCAACCCGTGAGCTCGTTGACGGATTCGTACATGGATGACCCAGAACAAATCTAGGGCTCCGCAAAAAAGCACGCAAGCCAAACAACACTGCAAAGCCTTGCTCCGGCGGCTCCCACGCTGCCTGCCGTAACCCATCCTCTCATTGGAAACCGACCTAAAGACGGCTCCATTGACTTTCTCATGCCCGCCGGGGAGACCGCCAAAACCCTAGGAAGTTTTCTGCCTCCAGGAAGTTGTTGTTGCCGGAAAATATTGAATTGAAGGCTTTCAGTGGAGATGCAGGCGTCGGAGCAGTACTACCGTTGGACGTAATAGGGAAGAAGAAGAAGAAAAGTATGTCCATGGTCGTGTTGTCACAGTACAAGGCCGTGAATAATTCTACACAGTCGTATATCGTCCAGGTCAGACGTCACCTCATCTCCGTTAAGTTCATGTTATTATTTTCCGTTGGATTTGTAACGGTGGAACTAAAATTAATTTAAATTTTTTATATTGTAATCAAAATTGATTAATTCTAATTATATTGAGACCAAAATTATTATTATTTTCATACTATATTTATATTATTTTAAATCTTAACAAGATCCTAGCAAAGTTGTTTGAATTTCATGGTTGGATTCATAATGAAATAATTGATCTCTAAGTTGATTTGTTCTATCTTGGTTGATCTCAAGTGATTTGTTCTATCTTGGAAGAAGCAACTCATCGGGGGCTTAAATTACTTCAAGAAGATCGTGTACAACAAACAACTCCAATATATTCTTTAATCCATGATTCAAATATGTTATTCGATCAAATTCTCATGTCGATTTTCATTATTGGATTCTAATAACAACCTCCACCACCATCGTGATCAATATCATATCCGAGTAATACACCAAAATATTACACATAAATATATATATATAATTAAAATACAAATGAATGAATAATGCTAATTATTATTATTATTATTATTATTATGATTTATGATGTAGGAATTCGCAGCAGCTACCAAAAAGTGGGCACTGGATAAACCCCCAATCGAACTTAATACCCTGCAAATTAGGCCCGACAGACAAGTCACACTAGGCGAACTATGTGTGGCAAGTGACCTGAGGCGTCGACGGTTTGAATCCATTACCTCACGGTCACACGTCCAACCCCTACACCATCAGGCCATCCCTTACGGGACATGAATAATGCTAATTATTATAAATAGTGGCCAGAACCACAGGCCAACCCACTCCAATGGAGCACATACACCCAAACGGAAGTCGATTCGTTTAATTCGCATTTTAATGGATCTATAAATCAAAACGAAACAACAATAAACCTTCTTCGAAAGCGAGTAAAATTTTACTGACCTATTTGCTCATTCATCGTATCCTTCCATACCAAAACTGGAATTCAATTAAGTGGAAATCAAGACAACACACACAAATAAAAAAAATGCTAAATAGGAAAATAGTTTTCAGAAAGCGTCAAGTCAAGTCGAAAAAGGAATAACAGATAGATGAATCTGATCAGTCGAAAGTTGAACAACAAAAAGAACAGGGCAACCAATCACCACATCAAAAATAAGAAGGAAGCACTTTCTAATCATCTTTTCCTTCACAGTAGTAGTAATAATAACAATGATTCAAACATTCTTGATATTCAACATCCTCAAGACAAATAGTCTCCCTCCTATCCTATTCACAAGTGCAACTAGAACACACATAAACAAAAAACCTCTGTTCCTATTCCTCTATTAAAAACTTTTATAAACGAAAATCAACAAGTATGATACCAAGTTTCAAGACAAGGACTCACTCATTGATTCTCAAAAACCTCAAACTTAATTTCAAGGAGCACATCATATAATCAATCAATGAAGCAAGCAAGCAAGATGTATATAATAATCTGCAACCAAGTCCATCCCTAGAGCATAAAAAAGAAATTACAGAGGCAAGGCAAGCAAAGGCATTTGAGATGAGATCAGAGCCAATCTTTCTCCTGCAGCTTCAATGGCAAATAGACCTCGGTTAGATACTGAAAGCCGAAGGAGCTCAAGGCCTGAATTTCGGCCTTGTGCTTGGACTTGACCATCAAATTCAACTCCTCCACCCACCCGGGATTCTTCTTCACGAAATCCTCCTCCAACAAATCCTTCCCCGTCTTGATATCCTGATCCGTCATTGGCAGCCGGCACTGCTCCGGAATCCTGTACTTATCAAGATCACTCGGTCTGACCCCAAGCCACTTGATTTCTGGCGTCGTAAGATTGGCACTGTCGTACGACATGTTCTTGGAACCGCAGCCGTAAACCGACAAGATCTTGAGCCCGTACGGATCGCTGTCGACGAGGGCCAGAACGGGCAGCTTCAGCTCCATCTTCATCTTCCGTAAGAAGAGGCGAGTGGCGACGTCCGGCTGCCCTTTGGCGGTGACGATAATGCAGGGGAATCGATTGTAGAATCGATCCTCGGCTAACCGCATATAGGCAGCATCCTTTTCTACGAGGAGGATGAATAGAGCGTCGCTCTGCATATCGCCCACACGATCGATGTTTGGAGGAATGGCCTTCCCGCCCATCCCCATTTTGGTGCAATCGATCATGTCGCCGTTGTCGCTGAACATCAGGCGGCCGACGACGACGCCTTTCTCGGCGGCGACGACGTTCAGGCTGGAGCGAGTGCAGCCGAGGATGCAGGAGACGTCGTCGAGGATGGCGTCGGATTGAGTCTGGTCCTGGAAGAGCTTGACGTCGGTGTAGAAGAGGTCGCGCTTGGTGACGTGGATGTTCTTCAGGCAGAGCTGGTGGATGAGCTGCAGGATGCGGGTGGTTATGGTGGCCTTCCGGACGGAGGAGACGTTGGCGAAGGGGCGGCTGGAGGATTTGTCCTTGAGGACGATGCGGTCCAGCTCGGGGACGTACAGCTGGTTCGCGGCGGCGCGGGACGGCACGCCGAACGAGAAGCCGTTGCCGGAGAGGATGGAGTGCGCCAGCGAGAGAGCGAGCGATTCGATGGTGGATTGGACGGAGGACAGGGGGAGGTCGGTGACTTCGCGGCAGGCGGCGGAGAGGTTGAGATCGGCGAGCGCGACGGGCCTTGGGGCGGAGGAGGCGGCGGCGGCGGCTGATTTGAGGGTTCTCAGAGTTTGAAGGATGGTGGGATCGGATTTGAGCTTGGATTTGAAGGGAAGCGCTTCGCCGGATTCGGAATCGGAGTTGGACTCGGCGGCTGCTCGGCGGCGCTTTTTTCTATCGGCCATGGTGATGGCGGGAATAAAATGCGGTCAACTGATAATTAGGGTTTTATTAGATGAGTCTCTCTCTCTCTCTCCCCCCCCCCCCCCCCCCCCTCTCTCTCTCTCTCTCCCTTTTTTTTTCTTTTTTTTTTAAGTAAAAACTATTCTTTTATAAATATTCTTAACCGCCATTAAAATTTTCTCTTTTTTAATACTATTAACATTTAAAATTTAATTAATTAATTTAATTTTTATACACATAATTATTTTTAAATATATTGGATTAATACTGTGTGGAACTTTGATTTTTTTTTTAACAATAAAAATAATATTAATATTTTAAGAAATATATTTATTATTAATAATTCATGTATTTGATTGAAAATTCAAAGTTTAGATTTGAGTTTTGAATGATAATTTTTTTTATATAATTTGAATAATATGATTATAAATAAATATTGATATAATACTTTAAATATAAAATTAATTTATAATATTTTCTTTATTTGAAATACTCCATTATGTTCATTTCGAAGGGTCCTTTGAAATTTTGTAGTAGATTAATTGTATTTTATTAGTCAGTTGAATTGTGTAAGAGGTTTTGTCATTTTTGTCATTTGAGTTTATATATATAATAATTGTATGCATAATGTTATATTTGTAATTTAAGTAAAAGTTAACCGTATTTTGGTATTATTATATGATTACATTTTCTAAAATAGGAAAATATATTTAAAATGAGACAAATATAAATAATAAAAATAGTACTTTGAATTATAACGAAATGAGTATTTTTTTATAATCATTGATGATGACTGAAGAGATACTAAAATGGAAAACACCATATGAAATGCTCCACAATGGTAAGCTAGTAATAGATCACTTGAAAGTCTTTGGATATTTATGCTATATATATAACTATGGTCCTCTTAAAAAAAGTTTTACCAAGAGGGTGTAAAGGCAATCTTTGTTGTTTATAAAAATGGAGTAAGGAGTACAAAGTGCTTGTTCCTACCACAAATAAGTTTGTGGTAACTAGGAATGTGGTATTATATGAGGATATATTTTTAGGAATAAAAACTGAGAGTAATAATACTCATAATATAACCCTAATGATTCTTGTTGAGCTAACAAGCTTCCAAGACAATTTGATTACTAGAAATCAAGATAAATCATTTGCTCCAGAAGTTATTGAAGTGTTGAGAACTCGCCACAATGCTTGACAGATGAGAATCTTCCTACAATATATCTCAACCCATCATACATCACAAGAGTTGTCAACATAGAGAATAAGGAATTTACAATAGCATAAGCCATAGGCATTCGTCTGATGTACAACAAAGACATCATGAAATGGTTAAAAGCTTGTGTAGTTAACAGATTATATATGCATTAGTGATTAGACATCAGATGAGGTATATAAATTTCACGAAGCAGACAAAAATCCTTATTGGATACAAACAATGAAAAAAGAGATTGCAGCACTATAGAATAGTAAAATATGGGAGGTTGTGGAGCTGCTATTAAAAAGAAAGAAATCCAATGGAAATGGATATACAAAATAAAAAGTGACAAAGATAGTTCAATCACTCATTAGAAAGTTAGGTTGGTGGCTAAAGGTTATTAATAAAAGCAAGTCAGGGATTATAATGAGTGTTTTGCTTCAGTTACCAAATGCACAACTATAAAATTAATGCTAGTCATAGTTGTGACAAAGGATTGACATATTCAACATGTGAATATTACTAATGCATTTCTACATGGTAAGATAAATGAAAATATCTATTTGCATCCACCACCAGGTTATTCTATTGCTCTAAATCAAGTAAGTCAGTTGAAGAAGTCCCTATATGGCATCAATTAGACACCTAGAGTGTTGTACAAGACACTCACTAAAAAAGTGGTTCAGTTTGGCTTATATTAATGATGATATGATCACTGCATATTTATCAAAAATAAAAATGAAAATTTATGAAATTTTATGTGTATGTTGATGATATATTATTTATAGGATCATCATGTAAATTGGTGCAAGAGGTGAAGAAGTACTTGAATGAAATGTTCACAATGAAGGATATGGGAGATCCAATTTCTTCTTTGGGATTGAAATCAAACAAACCCATAATGCATATTTTCTATCACTAGGTAGATACATTTATGACATAACATCTATGAAATATTAGAGGATATGAAAATACTAGAAGCTTCAACAACTTACACACTTCCAGCTAGAGTTAGGCTTTTTGCAATAGAAAATAAGTTCGTTGATGATGCATTTTGCTACAAAAGATTTATTGAAAAATTTTGTATTTGAACTTCGTCAAACCTAGTCTTTTTTTTTTTTCACAACACAATAACTTATTTTATATACAACCCAAACACATTGGAAATCTGCCTTGCATGTGCTAAGATATTTGAAAAGGACACAACACTATGATCTATATTTGAAGACATAGTCTTCTATTTACTTATAAGTATATGGTGATGTTAATTAGGGACCTATCTTGACTTCTAAAAATCAATCATCGGCAAATGTATTTTTTATGAGAGTAATTTAGTGTCAAGGAAGACAAATAGGCTACAATAAACATCTCTATTGTAGAAATGAAGTACCCCAGCATGTGTTCTGCTACGTGTGAGCTATTGTGGCTATCGTATTTACTCAAGACATTAAAAGTGGAAGTGATCACACTTATTCCATTGTATTGCGATAATCATGCTGCAATACTGTTATCCTACAAAAATAATTTTAAGCCAATCCAGAGGCCCACCAAGAAGATTCAGCTGCTGGAGATTGGACCGGCCCAAATGAAGAACAACCATCTTAACTGGCAGCCCAAACGGACCAACCCAAGGGAAAAGTTGAGGCCCTAGAAGTAAGCCCAATAATTGGGGTTGGAACCAGTCTAGAAATGGACAATTACGGATGAAAGAAAGTTGAGAAATGGGAGAAAATTTGTTCCTAAAATGAGGGGGGGGTTGGAGAAAATTTAGGAAGAGGCCTATATAAAGCAAAAGAAAAAGGGGAACAAGACATCCAACATCATCCGATCAAAACCTGCATAATTCAATCCCTAATTCCTACATTTTATTTTTTCATTTAAGATTATTATTCCTAAATTCTTGCTTAAATAATTTATTTAATTCAAGTTCTTCCTTAATTATTTCCTTATGTGTTTTTGCTTCTTTGTCTTCTTCGTAATTCAGAAAAGCAACACATAATTTTTTCATCAGTTCATTTTGATAGCAAGACTTAGCTCGAATACTTTCTCGAGTAGGCCGGGGAACCTTATTATTTTCGATTTTGACAGGCCTAATCTTAGTAGGCCATCATCGATGAATTTCAGCGACAACAGATTAGCACGCCCAGTGGGACTCCGACGAGTCTTGCACCTTTTAAGCAACCGAGGAGTCGCAAGTTACCATCACCGGAAAAATCTGCAATATCAAAAGATAAAGAAGCTACCGGTGAAACTTCGGCGTCGCGTGCACATAAACAACTCACGCAGGATGAGTCATCTGTTGCTCCGGGGAGTGGTGAAAGGATGTTGTCCATTCCTGGAAATGTCCTCCAAAATCATATATGTGGGGAGATCCAAACAGCCTTCCATGAATCGGCCTTGAATCTCTCTCAATATCTCGCAGACGTTCTGAAACCTACTATCCGAAACAAGATCGCATAGGCTTGAGAGGAGAAGTTGCGCAAAACGAAAGCACCGGCGGCCGGTCCCAGAGATGATAAAAATGCACTTCCAATGAAGGCAACACATGGAGGCACATTTGGATACCCTCCAACGACACTCCAGTATAGCAACGTCACCATACTAAGTAAAAGAAAATGAAAAAAATAACCTTTCGGATGAGACAGTGGCTGAAGGACCTTGGCGGTCCTCGGGTCAGGCCATATTAAGGCCGCCTCCACATTAAAGACATTCGGGGAACAAAGGGTACATGCCACCAGCCGCCCAATGGCAAAACAATCATTTGTTTGGTGGCGTGAGTGCGCTCACATCGCCCGTAAGGGCGAACGGTCAAGGAAATGTCCCTGCCAGAGAAGACAAGGCTGACCCTTAGGGGGCACGGCCGAGCACGGCCTCAACACCTCCGGCCTCTCATCCGGCTCCGAAGATGACTTGGGGGGCGTCCGTCCCACCTCCGAATCTGTCTTGGGGGGCAACTTCTGCTCCTCCGGGTCCATGGGGCTCAGCTCCGTCGGCTGTAGCAATGGCTTGGGGCTCGGGTGCACAAGCTCCGACCTTTCTGCCTTCTCCTAGGGGACAGGCAACATACCAGAAATCCCCCCTGCTGGACCAGCTGCACAACAGGGGTACGGACCTGTACAGCAGGGTTCTCCGATCAATTTCAAAAATTTTGTCCCTCAATGGGCAGCATCTCCGCGAGCGCCAGTCGAGGGGAATCGAGGATGTCCACCCCTGGCTAAACCCCCATAGGGCCATCAAAAATATTTTCTTCACATCCAGCTAGGCCTGGGGCAGCCTAGTGGATACGTTGAAGTGGCTCCTCCGACACGGTCGATTATCAACCCACAGGTTATCAAGGAAGCGATTCAGAGCCTGTATGGCGATCCTATCCGGCTTCCTGCTCGGCCGCACTATCAACGGCTGTTCCCGGATTAGATTGCCATTGATCACCCGCTCCTCCAGAATGCACGGGTCTCAAAATTCACATTGTTCTCAGGCGAGGATTCACGGTCCACTATTGAACACATCGGCCGGTTCACAGCATAGTGCAGAGAAGAGTTCGGGACCAATGATTGGTTCAAACTTCAACTATTCTCGATGTCCCTTACAGAGCCGACATTTACGTAGTATGCGTCTTTGCCGCCAAATTCGTGTAACACGTAGGCGGACCTTGAAAGGGCTTCCACGAACGTTTTTATTACCCGCTGCTGGAGGTGACGGTCTCAGATCTGACCAATCCATGGCAAAAGCACGACGAACTGATAGAACATTTTTTAGAGAGGTTACGCAGGGCCGAAGGGCGGTGCCAAGTTCGGATACCTGAAAATCAAGTGGTGAATATGGCTATCGATAATATAACGCACCAACTCTGGAAAAACTGGCCCTAAAGGAATATAATGACCTCCGGAAGCTTGCCGGAAAAGCAATTAAGGCAGAACAACTCCTCCGCGATTCTCAAACAGCTAGGCAGTAATTCAGAATCAAAACACATCTTGTCCAAGTCCAAGAGGATGAAACAAACCGCCCGGAGGAGCCAGATGAGACGTTCCTGGAAAAAATATCACAAGAAAATACGTATACTTTCCCGGCGCTCAAAGTACCATGGAGGAAGAAAGCCAACCCAAAGGTACAATACGCTTTCAATATATCTAAAACTGAGCAAGTCTTTGACTTTTTGTTGAAGGATAATCAACTCCGGTTTAAAGAAGTCCATAAAATGCCGTCCGACAAGGAATTGAGTGGAAAAGCCTATTGTAAATGGCATGGCTTGTTCGTACACCAGGTTGGGAGTTGTATCGCTTTCAGAAATGCGGTACAAAGGCTATTAAGGAAGGCCGCCTACAGCTGGCTGAAAAACCTGAGATGAAGATCGATACAGAGCCCTTCCCCGCACAAATTAATTTTGTGGGTAGGGTTTGGCCTAGTAGGAGGAACCGACCAGTATCAGGTAGCAGGCCAAATTATGGATAGGCCGCACCAAAAAGAGATGTATTCGAATGGTTGGGGATTGTCTTCACCGCATAATACTGTTGCCGAGGTTAGCTTTGAGAAAAATGGAAAGTATGGCGGGTTACTTCAATCGACCAAGTGGTGATAACTTCTCATGCTATGCGACGGCCAAAAAGGCCGCCTAGCGATGGGAAGTGGACGGATAATCGAAAAATGGTCCCACCATTGACTAGGACCCAACGGAGGAGATGGTAACGTCAAATCTTGGCTGCACACTCTGAACAAGGACAGCAGCATGAGCAACCTCCGGGATGAAAATGAGTTATGCATTCTTTTGGAATTGGACCACAAGTTCCAAGGACCAGGGGCGGAACTAGCATTACATAAAAAGGGGGGCTAAAATTTTAAAAATAATATTATATATATCATATATGTAAGAAGACTTACAGTTTATTTGTTGTCGGGCAAGTGTATTCTTCGAGTTGCCATATTTTGAAAATATTGCAAAAAAACTTCAGTTTCAACCTGTTCAAATATTTATATTTCAATATAACATACCAAAGAATCTGTCAAAAATCATCTCCCATCTTACTCCGCAAATCAGTTTTGATAATCTTCATCGTAGAAAAAGATCTTTCAACGGTAGTTATTGCACCAGGCAGAACTAAGACCAACTCGATTAGTCGATACACTAACTTCAAAGGAGTATGCCATCTTCTTTCAACCATCCTTCTAGAAACATCTTCAATACTCTCAAGATCAGAAAAAAATACAGACTCAACTTTTTTAATAATAGTGATATATTGTTTTAGTTCTGCAGCTAGCATAACCTCATCGTCAAAATCATCTGGATATAACTTAGCAAGACAAGTAGTTTATCAATATCAAAATTGGAAAATGAATCTCTAGGATCAAGACATGCAATGCCTAAGAGAACAACTGATCTTGTCTCCGTAAAACGATTATTCATTTGTTGTATGATATGATCAATAACCTAATATAATAATAAATTAAACAAATGATTTGTAAATGAAATAAAATAATCAATACTTCTACTATGAAATTAAAGTTGAAATAAAATAATCAATATTTCTACTATGAAATTAAAGTAGACAAGTACCTGAAGAAAAATATCCCGACAAAAATAATAAAAATAAGTCTTTGGTTGACCATCAACTTTTCTTTGAGATCTAACTCAACCAAGCATAGGATCTTCCATATTCGGCAAAAAAATATCTTTTTCAGAACAAAATTTGAAGACAATTCCCAAGAATTTCTCCTAATTATCCTCATCCCGAAATTCCTTCAAATCATCCTTCAACGCTATAATCAAAGATACGGCATTACCAATATTCTGAGATTTTCATTGCAAAGAAGCTGATAATGCATTTTTTTTCACCAATAATGTGAAAACATCAAATGAGCAATGAAAACAAATTCAAAAGTCAATACTTTTTCAACAAAACCTGCAGCAGAACCTCTATTTTTTTTTATCAATTCCATCCTCAATTATAACTTCAAGAACATTTATAATTGCATCCAACATAACTAAAATCCGACTAATTGTCTTATAATGAGAACCCCAACGAGTATCACCTGGCTGCGCTAAGCCTATTTCTTGATTTTTTTTCCTTTTCCAGTATCAATTACACCATATTCTATGCGTTGTACAAGATCATCATGATACTTTTGACGAGAGCATCTCTGCTTTTACATGAAGCTCCAACAAGATTCACAATCATAAATAAATGATCGAAAAAGCTACACACCAATGCATGATCCTTTGAAGTTGTCACAATTACTAACTGAAGTCGATGAACAAAACAATGAACATAATGTGCTTGACAATTTTCATTTAAAATAAGTGCTTTCAAACTATTAAACTCACCACGCATGTTAGAAGCTCCGTCGTAACCTTGACCTCTAATTTTTTAAAATGATAGGCCATATTTTGCAAATAAATCATTAATGGATTCTTTTAAATATTTTGAAGGAGTATCCTTAACATGCACAACTCTAAGAAATCGCTCAATCACTTCTCTCTTGTTTTTCACAAATCTCAAAACTATGGGCATTTGTTCTTTTACCGAGTTATCTCGAGCTTCATCAATAAAAAAAAAGTACTTGTCTCAAATCTCGTTTAAAATAATTTTTCTCACCTCTATTGCACATGCATTGATGATTTCTTTTTGAATTCTAGGAGATGTCAATTATTTATTTTCCGGAGCATTTGAATTCATTAATTTATTTACTTCTTCATTTCGATCACAATATCATTTCAAAAGTGCAAGAAAGTTACCTCTCTGCATTGACTTTTTTGACTCGTCATGTCCATGGAAAGCCAAACCTTGTTGTAAAAGAACTCTGATTGCATCCACAACTGTTGTTAACCGAATACGGTAATCAACTTCTACCTTCTTGCTTATTTGTGCCAACATATAATCAACATTATGTCGCTGATCTTGAAATGACGAACACTGAATCTTAGCATAACGATGTGCACTTGTTGAAGGACCTTCATGTTCCTTAATTTTTTCTAAGGCTGTTTTCCAATCTCTAAAACCAACTTCTGTAAAAATGGTATCTCCACCATGCTTGTGGCCTTTATTGAACAAATAGCATACAAAACAAAAGGCAACATCTTTTTGTGCACTATATTCAAGTCATTCAAATTGATCAAACCATGTTGACTGAAATTTTCTCATAATCTTACCAAATGAAGACCTCGGAAAATCATGATCATACGGTTGACAAGGCCCTTTAGCCAAATATCGTCTTCTTAATTCATCTCTAACATCAATATGATAGCTATCAATCAGTTTACGTAATCCTGGATTACCAACAATGTTGTTCTCGGATAATTCTATTTGTACTCGATTTCTTTTAACACTTTCTCTATCATCAATACCAATTTGACTAGCAATCATATTATTTGGTAGGTGCAAAGATGAACTTGAAGCAAACCTTTTTTATTTGATAATAAATTTATCCATAACTACACACCTAACAAATAATTAAACAAATAAATCAAATATTAATTATCTAACATAAAATTTTTACATAAAAATAATATATATTCTATTTCCTTACCGAAAATCAAAATTTAACACGAAATATTATGATTTTTATTATGACACAATTTCTCATGTTTCACATAAAAAAAATAATTCAAATTAAATTATTAATCAAACACACTATAAATATAAAAACAAAAAAAGAATAATACTGATTCTTGCTAGTTGGTTCCACCCGATCAGATTTGAATCCAACACCAAAACAAGGATTGAAAAGAAAAAAGATTTCGAAGAACAAAAACAACAGATGAGAGAAAATAAAAGAAAATGAAAACAACGAAGAAATAAAGAAGATTCGAAATTTGAGCGCAACGGAGGTAGAGACTAATTTTGAAGTTTAGGTTAAATTTGATTTGATTTTTAACACAATAATATATATATATATATATATAATATAGTATTATTAATAAAATACTATATATATTATATATTTAAAAATAAAGAAAAAAGCAAAACAAGAACGGTGGCGGCTGTTGAATATTATTAGAATGAAATTTAGGTTAAATTATTACGATTAATATATATTAATAAAATATAAATATATTATATATATATTTTTGGGCAAGTGGGGGCTCCCCTTGCCCAATGTTACGTTCGTCTCTGCCAAGGACCTCCCCTAAATTACTATCCCTAATTGAAGGGATTCCATGAATCAATATTTCATAATTGAAAGAATTTCATAGATCAAGGGATTACGAATTATTACGGATTGCCATCAATTATATGTCAATAATATTAAATAAGACTGATTATAATCTATATGATTTTATTTTCTTTAGGAGTACACTTTCTTGTTTTAATTTTCATGGGTTCTCTATAAAAGGTCTCATGATTATCATTGTAAGGATATTCATTTAACAAAAATATTTTATAAACTAGTTTTTATTTCAAGAACGAGTCTTGTGCATTATTTGAAGTGTAATCTTGAGTGATTTGGTTACATTTTCATATCCTCAAATTGAGTTGTTTTGAGTGATTTGAAACAAGTTGTGGCCTCTCGAATAGTACTGGAACTATTCTTGCCTTAGCTTGTATTGTTGGTTTGTTTAGAGGATTGTGAGACGTGAGCTTGATCTTTCGTGTTGCCTTCCCGAATACCTCTCAATTCAAGAGAGTCCAGGTTATCTCCATTAATATATATATATATATCCATTCATCATTTGTTCTATCCAAATCTTTCCAATTTTATTATCACTTATTCGTGTAGAATTCGATCCGAATTGTCATCCACTACAAAAAAATAATATATTTGTAACGGAATTCCGTCCCTAAAGTTCACGTAGCTAACGTAATTTTATTCCTAATTCCGTCTCTAATGTCATTAGTAACGGAAAAAGTAGATTTAGAGACAAAAAAAGTTTTGTTACAAAAATGATTTTTTCTTGTAGTGATCCTTGGAAAATTCGCATCATCTGGTATCAGAGCTAGTTGATACAATTTCCTGATTGATATCACGGTTCTTATTTTAAAAAAAAAATAAAAAAGAAAAAAAGTTCCAAAAAGAAAATTCTGAAAAAAAAATCCGAAAAAAATGTACATAATCTTTCTCATTTTTCTATTCGATTATCTAAAGGTCTTATTACTTGTGATTTTTACTTGAAATTTCTTGATTTGGGAATTGCATTGGGTCGTTGTCAGTTTTATTTAAGTGAGTGAAACACGAGCGGAGTGAAAGAGTATTTGTGGCGAGATCATTACATAGCGGAGAATACGATTCAAGAGAGGAGAAACCTTGTGAGGATATTACCCTTTTTATTTTTACATTTTTCTTTGATGCCAGGTGAAGGACACCCAAACGAGTGCCTTAATCCTCAAATCGCAGCGCTATCCAAAGCATTGGAATCATGATTCACGAAGCAACCTACTGACAAGATGGACACCTTACACTCGATGTTGGTTGATCTTGATCAATCTATTCGGGAATTGATAGTTGAGCGTCAGCAAGTCCGACCCACCCCCGACGCCAGTCGATTTGCAAGGCGGAATCCTATATACCGAGGTAAGGAAGACTCTTCTGAAAATTTTGATGAAGAATGGGAGCCAACCCCTCCAAATAGAGACAACCAAAATCAAGATCCTGTGAGGAACTTCAAGATTAGCATCCCTTCTTTCAAGGGAAGTTCTGACCCGGATGTTTATCTTGATTGGGAGAGGAAGATGAAGTTGATTCGAGATTACTCTTCATATGATGATGAGAAATGGACGAGGATTGCTTTAATGGAGTTCACCGATTATGCCCTTAATTGGTGGAAACAACTGTGTACGAAACGAAGGCGAGAATGGAATGCCCGGATCACCATATGGGATAGGCTCAAGAAGGCTATGAGGAAACGATTCGTACTATCCTGGTATAGGAGGGAGCTACACGAACAAGTTCAACAAATGTCTCAAGGTAATAGAAATGTAGAGGAGTATTACAAAGAGCTTGAAACAGCCATGATGCGGGCTGATATTGTGGAGGACCTTGAAGCAACCATGGCTCGATTCATGAGTGGAATCAACCAAGAATTGAGGGATACTCTAGAGCTACACCTGTATGTTGACTTGTCGGAATTGCTCAAACGTGCGATTTTATTAGAGAAACAATGCAAGCGAAAGGGGCGAGATGATTCTTTCAACCAACCACTACCCTGGTCCATTCAAACTATCCTAGAGCCTGGAGATATTCTCACTACTAACGTCAATAATTTTCTAATGTTGACAAAGGAAAAGGTGTTGTGCATGCTGGCACAACTCGAAACACCGAAAAGGAATATGTCCATGGCAATAATCCCCAAAATTGTGAAATTACCTATTTTCGGTGTCAAGGGAAAGGACACTATGCCTCTGAGTGTTCGAACAAGAAGGCCATGATCTTGACGGATGCTGGTGAAGTGGTGATGATGAAGGAGATGTAGACGGTGAGCAAATGCTTGAATGTTAGGAAAGGACTGCTGCAAAAGATGATGAATATTCCAAAATCACGGTGGTAACTCTGAGGTCCCTTAGTACATTTCAAAAGGAGGAACCAACCCAAATGCAAAGGGAGAACATCTTCCACTGTCATTGCAATATCGGAGGCAAAATTTGCAGCATGATAATTGATAACAAAAGCTGCACCAATGTGGTTAGTGAGAAATTGGTCATAAAGTTTAACCTTGTCACCAAGCCCCATCCGCGATCCTATCGATTGCAGTGGCTGACCAATAATGAGGAACTATGGGTAAATAAACAAGTTGAGATAACCTTCCAAACTCGTGGTTATATGGACCAGGTTGTATGCGATGTTGTGCCAATGGAGGCTTGCCACATACTACTTGGACAGCCTTTGCAATTCGATTGCAATGTCACTTACTTTGGGCAGGAGAATACTTTTACGCTCACACATGAGGGAAAAAAGATCACTTTGACTCCGCTCACCCCACAAGAAGCCCATACGGATCAGGAAGTGATACAAAGGAACCATATTCAAGAAATGATGACTATGAAGAACCTCTCAAAATCAGCGGGAACTCAAAGCCTCGTACAAGAGGCAGACATAAATTCCATGGCAAATTTGTTTACGACCGCCCCATTGCAAGTGCCAAGAGTGATCTCCTCAGAAAAACGAGAGAAAAGTAAAGGAGTACCTACTAAATATACCCTTTTCCAAATGGGAAGGAACATTGACCAAGCCATATTTCTCACTCGAAAGGATATTAGATCCATTGGAGAGGATGAGAGTGATAGGATTTACATTTTTCTTTGTAAATTTAATTGTCTTACAACTCATGATTTGCAATCTAAACTACCTCTAGAGTTCTATCATATTTTTCAGAAATTTTCTATGTATTACCCAAGGAACTACCAAGCGAGTTGCCCACATTCCGTGGTATTGAACATCAGATTAATTTCATACCTAGCGCTCAATTGCCTAATAGGCCGGCATATAGAGCCAACCCAGAGATCCAAAGGCAAGTCTAAGACTTGTTAGATAAAGGTTGGGTGCGTGAGAGCTTTAGTCTTTGTTCTGTACCGGTACTCTTCGTTCTAAAGAAGGATAGTAAGTGGCGCATATGTGTAAATTATAGAGCAATAAATCTCTATACCATTAAAGGAGAGGAAGAGAAAAGAAAGAAAACTAAAAGAGTGAAGAAAGTCACAAAAGAGCATCAACCTGCACCGAGCTTTACTTAAGTCCTTCCATTTTTTCCATTATCTTAAAAGCCATTGTATTAGATTTTTTCAAAAGCTTTAAACATTCATTGTAGCATAAAAGCCTCCTATGTGAAGACCATTGACATTGATCATACTATTAAAAACTATTGTAGCCCCTTGTTTTAGTCCCTATCTATCGTGGATCTGAATTTAGGTATTTTTCAATATGTTTTTTAAAATTTTCAAGTATTTTAGGTTAGAAGCTGACAAAGTGGTCATATTTGAGTGCATATAATAATTTATACGAAGTTTTCGATTTTTACTCAAGACCAATTTATTCTAGATATGTATATTTATATTATAATTTTAATAGAGGAAGAAGATTGGGAGGAGAGGGGCTACAAAGGTGTAGTAGGGTATTATGAGATCTCATACGAGAAAAGGAAGAAGAGATGGGGCGCGGCGAGCTTGAGATTTAAGAAGTGGAAACGAAAAAGTTAAGGCACCGTGGTAGATGTGGTTGGTATTAAGCCGCATATTATAGTTTTATTTTTATAATAATATATTTATAATCAAAACTAATACTCTCTTCATTCAAAAATTAATGTCCTATTTTTTTCGTTTAGAACGTCCAATAAATATTGTCTTTTTTTTTATACACAAATTTTATTTTTTTATCCTTTATTTATTTACTATTTTTATTTGAGCATGCATTATCTTTATCTTACTACAAAAAT